TTGACGGTCCAGCACCGGCCAGCCCCAAGCGAGAGTCCACAACCGAACCCCCTGCTCAGCACAATGGTTCCGGGCCCGTCAGCCCCAAGAGGGAGCAGCTGGACAGTCCTGTCCCCCGCAGGACCCCTAAAAGGGTGAAGACCGAGCTGCTTCCCAGCTGACCAGGGGACCCGGGCGGGCGGGCTTTTTGTAGAAACCGTGTGTTTGTCTTTTCTTACCGTCTCACTTTGTGACTTGCCTCTGTCCTGGGGCAGATCTCAGGGCAGTGAGAGCTGTGCTATACCTGCCTTCCATTGGGGCTTCCTTTATCAGCCGTGGGCAAACTACGGCCCGCGGGCCGGATCCGGCCCATTTGAAATGAATAAAACTAAAAAAAAAAAGACTGTACCCTTTTATGTAATGATGTTTACTTTGAATTTATATTAGTTCACACAAACACTCCATCCATGCTTTTGTTCCGGCCCTCCAGTCCAGTTTAAGAACCCATTGTGGCCCTGGAGTCAAAAAGTTTGCCCATCCCTGCTTTAGCTCCAGGGGCCTGTGGTAGGGGCCTGGAGAGGAGCCACCCTGCCCTGGACCCTGACCTTCGAGCTGACACCGCAGGTACCTTCTCTGCTCCAGCCCATGACTCAGGACATTTTCGGGGGGAGATGTGGCCACGCCCTCCCTCGGTTTCCAGCCTAAACAGAAATTAACTCCCTCTGCTCCCTGGGCCCCGACTCAGGACGATTTCAGGGGGAGATGTGGCCACGCCTAAACAGAAATTAACTCCCTCTGCTCCCTGGGCCCTCACACCCCCAAATGGCCTTCACAGTCCCTCCAGAGGGGGAGGGGCAGATCCTCCATTTCAGAGCCAAACTTCGTGGTGGGACAGGCAGTAGGGTGTGGCACTGCGTTGGACTGAAGGGAGAAAGGGGCCCACCCGGCTCCCTTCAGGCTTCCAGAAAAGTCTTCAGTGCAATAAAAGCATTCTTTCTTGCATCTGGGTCTGTGTGTAACACCCACAGCCTGCACCGGGCACTGGGCCCTGGGCCCTGGGGAAGGAATGTGTGGCTCCCTCCACCCCCAGGACGTCAGCCTGGGCTCCATGCAGTCCAGACGCAGGGCAATAGCTGCTGGCGCTCCTTAAACTTTCAGTTTGTAATTGTGTACCTATCTGCATGGGTTTTAATATTTGCCCTCACTGCTAGGCTGTGAGCCACGCAAGGAAAGATCCTTTGGTCGCGATTGCAGCCCTGGGACACCTGCGCAAAGGGGCAGGGCTGGGGTGACCCCTAAGAGCTCAGGTGAAACTGGGTTCCACCCCAACCCAGCGGTAACCTTAGACAGGCCCTCAGTCTCTTCATGGGTGAGGCGAGCAGGGTGGGCAGCCCGGCCCTCTCGGAAGGAAGGCGGATGCTCTTGCAGGGCGTCTGGAGGCCGCCAAAGACACCAGGACCTCGCGCTCCGTCGGCTGCCGCTCTCCACGGTGCTGAAGACATGCCTGGCGCCTCATGGGCCGCCTCTCCAGCCTGGGGTCCCCCCACTTTACTCCCCCACCCCAGGCTCGCCCAGCCCCACCTTCTGGGGGTTGGAGAGCCCCACATTCCAGCTTCTACCCAGTTACACTCCCACACCAGCCATGTTCTGTCACAATATTTTATTAAGGATCACGGCAGTCAGAGAAGGTGGAGGGTGGCCAAGGCCATCCCAAGTTCAGAGCCCAGCCACGGCTTAGGGGCCAGGCCCCCTGCAGTCTCAGTCACTTCCTCCTCCCTGTGTGTGAAGGGAGGGGAGGAGTCCCCAGGCAGCGCAATTGTTGAGGCACGTTGTGTGTTTATGTCTGTCAGGGTCTATGGATCACTATGTATCTGCCTGTCCGTTCTGTGCCTGGGTCTGTCTGTATTTCTCAGGCTTTGTGGCCTCAGGGTTGCCCTGGGTCTGAGCATCAGTTTCTGCTCCTGTGTCTGGGTCCCTGGGTATGTACCTGTGTGTTTATGCATCTCCATCCTGGCATCTCCACAGGGGTCTCTCTCACCTCCAATCCCCTGCCTCCACTGCAGCGGCCACCACAGGGCCCCTGAGCAGAGGGGCCTGGAGTCACATCCAGGTGGCACTCACAGCTCCTCCCCCACCGCCTCCAGCCCCACCAGACCTGGGCTGAGTGCTGGCTCAGATGAGGCCCAGTCCAGCAGGGTGGCCTGGCTCAGCTCCTCTGCCCAGTTGCCCTGGACCAGGGTCGACTTGTTCAGCTCCTCCGTCGAGTTTTCCAGAGCCAGCATGTCCTGGGATTTCCAGTGCACCCTGGGGCTGCGTGGAGACCCTCCCTGAGGTGCGCCAGCCTCGGCCTGAGGTCCTGGGGCCTCGGAACCTGGCCTGGTGTCGGGGGCCACACGGGAAGCGGCGTCGTTGTGCAAAGTTCTGGAGAAGACTGAGCGAGGGTTGGGAGTTCATGAGGGATGGGGTGGGGAGACTGGTGGTCCTTCTTTCCTTATCTCCCAGCTTCAGGGAGTAGCTGCATGGGGGGCTCCTTCCCCCTCCCCCAGAGGCCCAGTATTGGGATGTGAGGAGCCATGGGGATGTCCATGATGCAGCCCAGAGGGGACCCCGAAGTGATCCTGGCCCACCTACCTCGCACAGGTGTGAAGTCTCCGGGGCTCTCGGCTTTGTTGAGGGCAAACGGGCTGATGGAGGGGAGGACGATGAGGGCAAAAGAGAGCAGCAGGACCTGCCAGAGATGGGGGTGGGGTCACCCCATCCCTCCACCATCCCTATAAGCACACCCATCTTTTGGGCAGGGAAACTGAGGCCCAGAAGACTGGATTATGCTTGAACTGGGGCCAGGGCCATGCTACGCACACCTTTCCCCCTCCCACAGGCCAGTCTGTCCAGGCTGAGGAACCCCTTTATCCTGGGGGCAGTCAGAGCAGGGGGTAGGACTCACCGCTATGCAGGTGCCTGCCTGGGCTGACTTGCTGGTGGACTGGACTACAATGGCCTGGAGTTTCTTCAGTTGCTCCAAGAGGGACCTTAGTGGAACGAGCAGCCTTGGCTGAGCCCTACAGGGCCTTACCCTGGTCCTCTGTCCATTTCTTGGGCTCCCCAGCATGGCTGATGTCTGGATTCTGTCCACCCCTCAAGGCCCCCCTGCTCTTACAAGTCCCAGCTTTGCTTTGGTAAATCTCCAATGGCATCCCACCCACTTCTCTGCCACCCCATCCAGGCCTCCAGGATCGCTCACCTGGATGCCAACCCAAGCCTCCTCTCTGGTCCCCCTCAGCTCTACCCCCCCTCCTGCCCCCCTGCCTCTTCTGCCCCCACTCAGCAACCGGGGACGCTTTCCAAATGTGAAACAGCTTCTCCCAACCCTCTCAGGGCTCCCACCTCCCTCAAGTCCTCTCTGCAGCTGAAGCCCTGCACAACTTGCCCCTGTTCCCTCCCTCACCCTCACTCACTCTGCTCCAGCCACACTGGCCTCCTCACCATGCCTCCAGCATGCTGGGCCCCAGGACCTTTGCACAGGCTATTCCCTCTAAGGACACTGTTCCCCCAGGTCTCTTGGCAGCTGGTTTTTTTTTCTCATCCCATTAGGTCTCATCTCAAATAACACTGTATCTGACCTTCCTATCTGAAATAGCCCCGCAGCACTGGCTGGGTAACAAAGCACCAGACGGTTAGAGCACCGTCCCGATTTTCCAAGGTTGTAGGTTTGATCCCTGGTCAGAGCACATACAAGAATCAACCGAAGGCCCTAGCCAGTTTGGCTCAGTGGATAGAGCATCGGCCGGTGGACTGAAGGGTCCCAGGTTCTATTCCAGTCAAGGGCCCGGGTTTCGGGGCTCAATCCCCAGTAGGGGGCGTGCAGGAGGAAGCCGATCAAAGATTCTCTCTCATCATGTATGTTTCTATCTCTCCCTTTCTCTCTGAAATCAATAAAAATATATTTTTAAAAAAAGAATCAACCAATGAATGCATAAATAAGCGGAACAACAAATCAATGTTTTTCTCTCTCAAATCAATATAAAATAGCCCTTCACTCTACTTTGTTTTTCTTCCTAAGAACTATCACTATTTGTGTGATCTTTTATATATTTTTGTTTGTCTTGAGTATGTCTCCCACTAGACTGTGAGTTCTTTAAGTGGAGGGACTGTGTCTTTGTTCATTTGTGGTCCCAGTGCCCAGAACTATGTCTGATGCAGAATAGATGCTAAATAAACTGACTAAGTGGATGCACCCCTTAGATGGAATTATGTATAGTCTCCAATTACCATGCTCCTAGCCTCAGGCCATTCATATGCCATTTCCTCTACAGACAGTAGCTTCCCCCATGAACTCTTATACATCTTTTAAGACCCCAGATCCAAATCTTCTCCGCTATGCAGCCTGCCTCCTTTCTAGGTGGAATCCTTACCCACCCCCCCAGCCCCTGACCCCCACCCTGCCCTGCCATCACAGAAGTTGCCCCCTCCCCCACAGTGTTCACCTCTCCTGCCAGGGATTTGGGGGCCGGTTCCCCCTGTCCTCTGCCCTGGCTGGACCAAGACTCACTGGTTCTGCTTCTCGAGATGCAAGACCTTCCTCTGAAGCTCCTGGTTCTGGGCAGTGCAGGCCGACATCCTGCAGGGACAAGGCACAGTGACATTCAGGGTATGCCGGTCACCGACGGTCCCATCACCTCTTCCTGTGAGGCTCCACTTCACAGGCAGGGAACCCGAGGCCAAAGAGGGGGAGTCACTTATTCCAAGTCACCCTGACAAGTCCGAGGGCCAGGATTGAACCCATGTCTGCCAGGTTTCTAGGCCCCATCTCTGCATTGGTGTGGGGGCTTCATTCAAGTCTGAGCCCCCCTGATTGGAATGGAATGCCGAAGTCAGGCAGTGATGCTTCCAGAAGATGAAATAGCAGGGAGTCTGGGCGTCCAAGGAGAACCAAGTGACACCCCTCACCATCCCTGCGACCTTGAGCCACTCAGCTCTCTGACCGGACCTCAGGCCCCTCATTTG